TGGCATGAGAGACTGAGGCTCAGCCAAAACCTAAAACAACCGTCTCAAGGTCTGCATCAGCCAAAAAGTCGAAATGATTCTGCTTTATCCTTTTAAAAAGATTGTCTTATCAATCCCGAAATGATACACTTTTCCTAGAAAGTCATATAAATTCAGCAATACCCAAACCACCCACCCACTCATCCACACACACACATATATATATATATATATGCACAAACATAAGCATATACTCAATATACCTTATTATCGCGTGCCTTCTCACCTTTACGTAGATGGCATAAATGTCGAGTATTATGATCGAGGTCATGGCCATGATCTGGGACGACCCAGTGATTGTGATCGCCATCAGGCATAGGAGCACCAACAATATCACACCGATACGACCAAACAGGTTCCAGGCCACCACGACTGGCACCAAGCCTAGTCAGGAGAAATGAAAAGAGAAGCAAAAGCAATGCATGTTTTTATTGTGCTCTTATTCCTCCTTATGGCGTTAGTAATGCTGTTTTACCTACTCATAATGCATATAAGTAGCGCCTTTGAGCTTTCGCAAGAGCCCGACAAGCACAAGTAAATTAATATGTAATGGACATTACATTACTTAACACATCATTTTTCGCCTAATTAAAGACAGAGAGAGAGCCAATCAAATATATTCCAAATTAGATAGGACCTATTTTGGAGGCCCTAAGAGAATTTAACTCATAAATATTAGAAGTAAAGAGTCTCACATTTTTTTAGTAGTATCCGTAACATTTTCGAAAGTGTGGGAGTCGAGGCAGCATAAGCGCAACAAATTTATATAAATACTACTCAATCACTACTTAAAATGTTGCAGGGGATAAAAAGCGGTATTCATCTGATTACGCTATAGCGGCATTTTTCGTGAGCACGCCTACCTGCGCTTACATCTGCCTGGCTGAGAAGGTCCCCTCCATTCGCCAGACCTAAGGCCAAATAGGCCAACCCACAAGCGGTACCAAAGCAGAAGGGGACACCGAACCAGATCATCGCGCCGAGCTGGAAGCCGTAGATCGCTCGATCTGCTTTGGTAGAGGCACTGGCCTGCCAGTAGCACTGACTGCTCAGGGTGGTGGAGAAGGAGTCTCAAGTAAGTACAGAATTAGCAGAGGGGATAAATGGGACAAGGGCGTTAAATTAAAGAAATAATATATGAAATAAGTAAAGAATAAATAAATAATTAGTTCAAGATTACGGGGCAAAGAAGAATTACAAAGTAAGGGCCAAAATTGCATAATATAAGTCGAAATAAAGAGAATTTCAGTTGAAAAAAATTGTGAAAAATAACCACGACTGCAAGAATATCTGGGATAATGAGAATAAAGAATTCAATTAATTTTCCGACCTAAAGCTGAGTCACTACTGGTTGCTTAGGCTGATTTAAGTAGTGAACGTAAGTAACTGTTTTCATACGAATAGTTACAGGATTCAATTGAATTTAGTTTAACCTTGCTTCCCAAAAGGTATTATCCGTAAAGGTTGATGGAAGATGCAAAATCGTCAAAGTCACATCCTTAGCCCATACGAGATTCGTACCCGGGTTATCAACTTAAAGTGGCACCAGATGGACACGCTGCCAAGTTTCCACAGGAAAATTGGGCAAGCTAAGCCCCTATAAAGTCACACTTAAAATTAGATCAACGGGGGGACAAGCGTGCATTTCCCATTACAATCGATGACTATAATTATATTTGGTGTGCGCTAGTCATGCAAAATGATCTACTAATGTGTAAATAAGTAATATCATAAAAAATAGTGGAAAATGCCTGCTGGACGAATTGATAACTCCAATAATTTTCTGTTTGTGGGAAAAACTTAAATATCACTTCCTAAATCAGCATAAGCGACCTAAGGTGGCCAATTTCTCATCCAATAATTACTGACAGCCTTGGAAGCTTATCATATTAATATTAATATTACCGATATTAATCAACAAATTAAATGGAGTAATGTCTTAATAACCAATTAGCAAGTGTTCATCATATAATTTCTCGAATATTTTATACGACGATATGTACTGCAGGATCAGGATAATTTATGGGGAGATACTGGGTTTCAATGAATTTCCTGAGATAACATTTTGCCTGAGACTTTCATTTCGTCTGAAAGTGTATGATGAAAATATTTGGGGCTCGATCTCACCACAGGGCGGGGGCAGATTTCGGTCTCTCCGAAGCGATTTAATGATGTTACGTCACTCAGCAAACGAATTTCATAAGGATTCATTTTTCGTTTCGAGGAATTGGGAAATCGGCCCCACCAGAAACAGGATGTGGATTTCCTTTGACTTTTGTCTGTTGATTTGTGCGGGTAGGGCCACGTTTCGACTTAATACAACTCGTATGACTTCTTGCCTATCTTCCGTTCGTTATGTGACGGACATCTTCATAGCCGGAAACCATTATTCACAAGCAATCACCAATC